ACCCTAAACCCTAAACCCTAAACCCTAATCAACCCTCCAACGCGGATTTTTGCTTTTTCGCGGCCCGGCCCGGAATTGCCCTTGATTTACCTGAACCACATTAACTTACCTTAACCACTCTAACTACCTTAACCACTCTAACTACCTTAACCACTCTAACTACCTTAACCACTCTAACTACCTTAACCACTCTAACTACCTTAACCACTCTAACCACCTTAACCACCGTAACCGCCATGGCCAACTCAATCCTCATCCACTGGTCCTGACCCAACTCAATCTGCCTCCTCTGCAAATCTCTGTAACCCCACTGCTTTCGCCTTTTCCGCTCTCGCCCCCGCCCTCTACCCCGATTCACCTGCACCCATTCGCCGCCTTGGCCCGTCCTGCATCCCCATCACCTCCCCTTTTTCCTCGCCCTTACCACCCCTTGCAAACCCCACTTTCCTGACTCCTTTTCCGTCTTGCTGGGGGGGGGGCTTTACCCCGACTTTCCTTACCCCTCTTCGGGTTTGTCCCGGGGGGGGGGTTAACCCTACTTGCTTTTCCTTTTCCGCCCTGGGGGGCTTGGGCTTGCCCGCACACCTCCATCCACCCCCAACATGTAAATCCCTGAACACAATCCATCTTGAACCGCCAACATCGATCCCTGAACACAATCCCATCTCAACTCATCATCCATACCTCAACACCCTCCAATCACAATCCATCATCCATCCCTCACCACAATCCAACCTCGATATCCCTCATCACCTGCCTCCATTCGCAATATCCATCAACAAAATCAATCTCCAACATACAAATCCCTCAACCCCTCGCCTTCATCCCCCAAAATCCTGAACACCCCCTGCATCCAACTCCCTCACCTCAATTCCTCCCTCAATCTCCTATCCGTCATCCTGCCGTAACCCTTACAATCTTCTCCAACACCCATCTCCTGGAACACAAATCTCCCCCTCCATATTGCCAAACCCGGACCACTCTACCTTCATATCTCTCCTGTCTCTCCAACCCTATCCATTTCCCCCCAATTTTCCATCCCTACTATCCATCCCCGTCTGCCCATACTCGATATCGTCGCCGATCCTCCATTTCCGCTCTCAAAAAAATTCCCACCTGACCGTTTGTCCTTCCGAATCCCCACCCGATATACGTATCCCGTCTTCCAAAATCTACTATCCACCGCACCCGGTCTGATTTTTTTTTTTTTTTTTTTTTTTTTTCAATATGATTTGCCTCATACTCGCGCCCTGCTCCTGCTTCCATTATTTCTTTCCTATACATTCATCGCTTCTACCATTCCTCTACCTGATTGAATCCTCCTATTGATCTGCTGTTGCCGTGGAACCCCTGCTCGTCGTTGCTGGCCAACTTGCCCCTCCCTCTGGTGCTGCCCTGCCCTGCCCATTTCCCATCACAACCCGCCATATTACACTGCCTGCCCTTCCCATTTGTACTACGCTATTTCCTGATCTTCCCCGGATGTATTATCCTCATTTCCATCATCCCTCTCTATCCTTCCTCGACCTCTGCACCCGCTTACCTCCCACCGCCTCTCCACCTCTTGCTTCCTACTTCATCCGCCTATGCCCCTGTGCCTCTCAACTCTACTGCTTTTGGTCGGATCGGGCCAACCACCTTTCGCCTTTCTAACACCACTCTCGCTGGCTCCCGCCTTTATCGCCCGAATATCCCGTTCCATCTCCAACCGTACTCCCTCTGCGCCTCTACCTTGTTCCGCCTTGGGCGCTTTCCGACACCCTGCCATTGAAAACCCAATATGTAAAACCCTGAACGCAACCCGGGAATCAAACCGCAACATGAATAACCCTGAACACGAACCGCCATGACACCCCATCCCGCCCAACATACATAACCCTGAACACCCACCGCCATGACACCCCATCACGCCCCAACATTCATAACCCTGAACACCTCACTTCCATACGCAATACCCCTGAACACGGCCGGTATGAAACCCTCGCCAACGACGGATCCGGGATATTCCATCCGTTCCTCCCCTGTCTTCCAAAACATCATTCCCATCATCAATAACCCTGAACACAAATCTCCCTCTCCATACGGATAAACCCTGAACACCACGCTTGCATACGTGCATCATATACTCCCCCAATCAAATCATCATATATTCTGCACTTCCGCTACCCATGGCCATCAATCCCGAATCGACTCCGTACCGCTCAAAATTTTGGACCTGTCATGGCTGGTCGCGGAACCGCAACGAAAATATATATCCGGTCGGCTAAATATATTTTGGCGTACCGGTATCCTTTTTGTTTACCACACTGTTTTCTTCACAATACGGCTTCCGTAACACTGATCTGGTGGATTGGATAATTATTCATGTCTTTATATCCCCCTGATCCAATATCGACACATTGCTGCTATATCTACACATTACTGCTGTATAACCTGCTGCCCCTGGGCTGCCGTGACGTGCCGCGCCGCTGTCTTTTGCATGCATCTCTCCGACCTCCCGCGGATCCGGAATACCAATCTTCGTGCACTGGAATATATATATGAAAATCATCATTCATATATTCCTGCTGGTAAAAACCAAACGCCCACGCCGATGCGATCAACATGACTCACGCCTCGAATCACTGCACTTCTCCCGTCCATCATATGTCCGCTGGGATGCTTCCGCGTGTGGTGGTGGGAATGGATGTGGGCTCGGCCCTGGGGTCGTGGGTGGTGCTGTCCTTGCTGCTGCTGCTGCTGCTGCCGTCGCTGCTGCTGCCGTCGCTGCTGCTGCCGTCCTCGCTGCGGCTGCTGGTGCATATGCCACCTGGGACACAATCCTCCCACTATCACTGCTGCTGTCCGTGCCACGGGGGACATGCCCGTGAAAACCATCCGTGGCCTGGGGCGCAATGTCCGCGGGAACGGCGTCATCGCGGTCAACTATCTCAATATCCTCATCCGTCGTATACGCCTCCGCCATCACAATCCCATCCATCGCAACCGCCTCATCCACCGCCACATCCTCTGCCACCGGGAACGACGACCCCATCCGCGACTCGTGGTCCTCCCAATCGGGCTGGCATCCATGTCCATCACACACCGACTCGCCCGCCGTGTCACCGCACCGCCTCCGCGCATATCCATCAACCGTCCTGTCCAAATATCCATCCAATCCCGCCGTCGCCAACCGCCATGTCCCATCTGCATATACTCCTCCACCCGCCCCTGGTCCGTGCTCTGGCTTTGGAATGTATTGCTGGTGGCTATTGCCTTCATTCACTGGACGTGGGTCGATATATATTGCTGTCCGTCACCGGCTGATCTATATATAATCCGTCGCGCTGATCGTGTCCCAATGACAATCTATCCGACATATTCGTTCCCCTAAATTGTAATCAAATCTTTGCTGCGGTGAAATCGTATAAAACGCCTATCTGGGCTGCATTCCGCCGCCCATGCCATTCGGCTGGAAATGGCCATGTGATTCAATATCGAACAAAACCTTAAACCCCATCAATACCCCTGAATATGTTCAATTACCCTTAACACCATCAACACTCACTACCCTGAACACTCACTTCCCTGAACACTCACTTCCCTGAACACAATAATCAAAACCCTCAATGCCCATTATATCCCTCAACACCATCAACCAATAACCCTGAACACAAATCTCCCTCTCCATACTGATAAACCCTGAACACCACGCTTTCATACATCCATCATATACTCTCTCAATCAAATCATCATATATTCTGCACTTCAACTACCCATTGCTATCAATCGCGACTCGATTCCTTGCCGTTTAAAATTTTTGACATGTCATGACGTGTGCCGGAACCCCAACGAAAATATATATCTGATCCGGTAAATATATATTTCAACATATCGGGTTCATTTTTTGCCACACTGTTTTCTTCACAATACGGCGTCCGTGACACTGATCTGGTCGATTGGATAATAATTCGTGCCTGGACATCCCCCGGATCCAATATCTACCCATTTCTGCTATATAACCGGCTGCCCCTGGGCTGCCGTGATGTGCCGCGCCGCTGTCTTTTGCATGCATCTCTCCGACCTCCCGCGGAACCGGAATACCAATCTTCTTGGACTGGAATATATATATGAAAATCATCCTGCATCTATTCCTGCTGGTAAAAAACAACCCTTGTGAAACGCCTACGTGATGCCATCAACATGACCCACGCCTCGAATCACTGGCCTTCTCCACCCCTCATCCCATCGTCAAACCCCGCCTGCCCAACTCGCCGCTGCCATTCATCCGCATACCTCGTAAACCGCTTCTGGAATTCCTACGCCCCGCCGTGCGTCCCCACCCTGCAATCCAATCATGCATCACCATCCTGCCTCCACCACTTCATCAATCCCTAAACCCGCCTGACCGCCCCGGACGCCCACGGGTCCGCCAAATCGCCTTCATGCGCTGTCAATCGGCATCACTCCCATCACACAACATCTCGGATATGCCCAAATCCTCCTTGCCATCATCGCACCGCCTCCGCTCATATCCATCAATCACCCCGTCCAAATATCCATCCAATCCCCGCCGTCGCCAACCGGGATCACCCATCTGCATATACTCCTCCACTCACACCTGGTTCGTGCTCTGGCTTTCCAATGTATATATTGCTGGTGGCTATTGCTCTAATGAACGTCCCCGGGATCGACATATATTGCCATCTGTCACCTGCCGAATAATATATAATCTATCGCGCTGATTGTGTCACAATGACAATCTATCCGAAATATTCTTTCCCATAAATTGTAATCAAATCTTTACTGCTGTGAAATCGTGTAAAACGCCTATCTGGGCTTCATTCCGCCGCCCCTGGGATTCGGCTGGTAATGGCGACCCCATCAAACACCCTGAACATGTTCAATTACCCTTAACACCATCAATCACCCTCAACACTGTCACTATCCCTCAACACTGTCAACAACCCTCGACGCCGATAACCCTGAACACATTGATAAAAAATCCCTCAACACCACCAATGTCCCTCAACACCACCAATGTCCCTCAACACCACCAATGTCCCTCAACATCATCAATATCCCTCAACATCATCAATATCCCTCAACATCATCAATATCCCTCAACATCATCAATATCCCTCAACATCATCAATATCCCTCAACATCATCAATATCCCTCAACATCATCAATATCCCTCAACATCATCAATATCCCTCAACATCATCAATATCCCTCAACACCGACAACACTGAAAACGTTGATCAAAACCCGCAACACCGACAACCCAACCGTATCTCCGCCATATTCTTACCATCGCCCTTTGACCATCCTCTATACTCCCGGAAAACCCACTCCCACCCTACCGCCCATCCACCCTACTCCCCCCCTTCTCCGCATCACCAATGCCCCTTCCTCCTCGCCAATTCACATCCTCTCACCATCTTTCCCCTCCATCTTTTTTACCCGTCCTTGTGCCCCCGGCCTATACGTCCCCCCGTTGCGGAATGTCCAATGCCCCTTCCTCCTCGCCAATTCACATCCTCTCGCCATCTTTCCCCTCCATCCTTTTTACCCGTCCGTGTGTCCCTACCCTATACGTCCCCCGCTGCGGAATGTCCCCAATATCCCTTTGAATATCAATCATCTCACCTCTTGCCCTATCCGCCGGACCCTCCCGGATATCATCACTGAATCCCTCCTATCGTGATGCCTCGATTGCCGCCTGCGATCATCCTTCCGAAATACCATCTTCACACCTTCGGATATTGACACTATGTGCTCATTCAAAACAATCACTTCTTCCTTCCTAATCATGGCAAATACGGTCACCCGACTGCGACACCTGCAACCGACAATATTAATTCCCTTAACATCCCTCAATATACACCATAATCGATCCGTTAATACCTCTTTTATCCGCCCTGGGAATTGCTACACTGCTTAATTACACCTCTGACAATCATAACTCGTGCCTCTCGACATGTATGTGCTAATAAACTGTAATATTAAAAACCCTGAACACACTGCTCACAAATCCTGCACACGTCTGTTAAAACCCCTGAACATCTCTGTTATACTCGGATGCCTGGGAACTATAAATGGGTCTCTGCTCTGGCTGTCTAATATATATATTGCTGGTGGCTATTGCCCTGATTTACGGGACCGCATTCGATATATATTGCTGTCCGTCACCTGCGGAATTATATATATTCAATCGTGTTGATCGTGTCCGAATGATAATGTACCGGAAATATTCTTTCGGCTAAATTGTAATCCAATCTTTACTGCTGTGGGATTGTATACAACGCCTATCTGGGCTGTATTCCGCCGCCCATGGATTCGGCTGGAAATGGCGACCCATCAAACACCCTCAACACCCGATAACCCTCGACGCCGATAACCCTGAACATATGGATTAAAACCCTCAACACACGGCTCACATATCCTGAACACGTCTCCAAAACCCCGAAATATCTCCGTTATGCTCTGATATCTGGAAACTGCAAATGTGTCCGTGCTCGGGCCTTCGAATATATATATTGCGGGTGGCTGTTGCCTTCATTCACTGGACCGGGGTTGATATATATTGCTGTCCGTCACCTGCCGAATCATAACCATGAACACGTCTACTACAATCCCTGAATATCTCCGTTATGCTCTGATATCTGGAAACTATAAATGTGTCCGTGCTCGGGCCTTCGAATATGTATACTGCTCGTCGCTCAATTTGCACTCTCGAACGGCGCCGGAATCGATATATATTGCGGTCTGTCACCTGCGGAATTATATATAATCGATCGTGTTGATCGTGTCCGAATGATAATGTATCCGAAATATTCTTTCCCGTAATTGTAATCCAATCTTTACTGCTGTGGAATGGTATAAAACGGCTATCGGGGCTGCTTTCCGCCGTGCATGGCATTCGCCTGGAAATCGCCATGATTCAATATCGAACAAACCCTACTGATAAATCTGAAAAAATCATATGGCATTCGAATTCGAAAATCGACTTCCGTGGCCTGCTGAATATCGATCAATGGCTTCCAACCGTGGTACCGCTGTCAACATCAACCCGAATCCACATCTACCGGCATCGTCGCGCCCTTGATATGCCCGCCGCAACCAAATGAACTCCTGCGTGATCTGCGCCCGTTTCCGTGCTGTATTCGGCGCCATCGGTCCCAAAAATCCTATCAACACCCCGTCGTCCTGCTCCACGTTCTGAACTCCCTGCGGCTAACCGCTGGAACCACCGCTGGAACCACCGCGGCGATATCTCCGCATTGCATATGGCCCTTTCACCATCATCACCACTGTCGGGATCAATGCCGTCCGAAACCCTTGACACCGATCCTGTACCGCCGGACTATGCTCCGTCGTGTGATCCGCCTGCGGGCATATGTATTGCGGCATCCCACGATGGAACCAACCTTCCACCTCCTGCTCATATATGCCTCGTCCTGAAATCGCTGGGATGCCGTGCCATGGTGTCGATCTGATAAACGGGCACGTTTAATGTCCTGCGGCCGGAATCGATGCCATGGGCAATCGGGATCCTATCTGGTTTGGCGGCCGTGATACTGGCGGTGGATGCGTGGTGCCGGCATGTGGTGACTCGGGCTCATGCTCGTATGATCGCTTCCTGCCCACGATGATGGATCTGGATGGCCTCTTCGATGCCGCCGCACAATGGGCTGCGTACTTTGTGCTAATGGCGAACTCAAACTGACACTGCTGTGGCCACTGCTGCTGCTGCTGGGCCGACGGGCCATAATGGAAACCTCATAACTCTGCACACCTCGGGTGGTCGTGCCATGACGGGCATCCTCTGGGCATTCTCAACGCCGGCGGCAATGGGGCTGGTATATACCGTAATGCCCCCGGGGGAATGATCAATATGAATGGCCCCGGTCATCACGGGCTCCTGGTCCTGCCATTCGGGCGCACATCCATCACATAATGACTCGGGTGGATACCGCCACAACGCTGCCGGGGGGATCCATCAATGTGCCCGTCTACATATGTATCCAACACCACACGCCGGCAATCGTGGACCGCACTCCATATACTCCACAACACCGACATGCTCCGCCACACTATGACCCTGCATCCAACGGCCGTTGCTCCCGTCCAACCCTTTGACCGTCGGCCTGGATGATCATGGCCTCGCTGGGTTGCCCATCGCATCCCGCGCCGCCACTCTCCTGTGCGTCATCGAACATCGTGCGTGGCTGACCGAATGAATGACACTCCGGATGGCGGGAATATCAATTCCCATGCCCAATGCGTGGTGGCGGTGATGGCGGCGCCGGGCGTGTCCCGCAATGCTTGCAATACACCATCGCGGTCGATTGTCATCTGGTGATACGCGGCACACCCTAATGACTCGGCCATCCGGGTGATATGGGCCACGGCGGTGCCATATATGATCACCCGGCCGGGCCGCGCGCGACGGATCCGATCCTGGATGAATGCAATCACCTCGGGCATATCCACCCACTGCGGCTGCTGTTGAATTGGGCCGGGGGGCACGGTATGCACCCGATATGCCACATGGGGGCGATGGGGACGTCCTCGATGCCATGTCACGTCCCCGTCGGTCCACCCCATCCGCCGGCAACACTCGGGCTCCGCACTGGGGGCAATGTCGCGGTTAAACATATCATCTGCGTCTGCGCGGATCGTAACGGGCCGAATTTCTTCACTACTGGGCGGAATTCGTGGTCCTGGCTCAACACAACATGGCACTCGTCGATCACCATCCGATCCAACCGCTTCCACGTCCGCTGCCGGTCCATGAATCTCCGGACTTCATGACTTGGCACACTCTCGGGCGTGACTAATATAATGGACGCTCCATCGGGGGGCCACTGGCGATCCCACGCCGCACACGAAATCCCCACCTCCTGGCACCGGCGCTGCATGTCCCATCATAATGCAATCGATGGCAAACCCACAATGGTCATCCCGCCACGACGCACCCACACGGGCCACATGAATAATACACTGTTGCCACCCCCGGTGGGCATCACCGCGACAATCGGGCTCTCTCCGTGCTGGATGGACCGGAACTGGCTGCTCCCGCGTCCATACCGCCGGCCGACGGCAATGGCGATCTCCCGATATGCCTGGATGTTGATCGCGGTGCCATGTAACCCCGTGCGGGTTTGTGCCTTCAATATCTCCCGAATCGGGGAACTCCACTCCTTCTGTTTTTCGGGGTCGGGGACCAAATGTAATCGGCGCGTCGCTCGGTGGTGGCGGGCTGCCCACGGAACCCTCGCTGAAATGACTGCATGGCCTGGATAAACGGCAACACCAACCACAAATACCATATCACCAACTCCCCCAACTCCCGCGGTAAATATCGGCAAATCACCTGGTGTCATTGTTGATATGGAACCCTTTGATATCGGCTGACAAACATCACCATCCCATCATCAATGAACCCATTCCGGCGCTCTCGCTCGCTGTCGAATACTCAACAACTCGGGGGCACGGCTGGGTTGCCCGGCACATACGTGGATGCCCACGCTCAACATCTCCCGGATTGACGAACACACGGAAATACTGATGGATCTCCCCCATATGAAACTCAATGCCTTCGGGCGTGATGAACTGCCGGCGTAATGGCCCACGGCACACCCGCTGGATCAACCACTCCGATCCATTGACCGGCCACTGCGTGGGGGTCCTGGATGAAATTCCACCCTGGCTGGCGTCGTCGTATAAATGATCCCATGGAATAACGGGCGCCCGGCGGGCAAAACATCAACTGCCCAACCAATATCGGGCACGTCTTCCCCACCAACCCATGCACGAATCCACGGAAATCGCCCATGGTGAATGGATCTGCTTCTACCATAACTCATCCCCGGATTTCCATTCAATCTGGCCTTCCACGGGCGTGTCGGTGACCCGGCCGTATGTACGCAAATCGATCAACCACTGGATGGGCCCGCTGGTGTCGCGGCCTCGCATGACGCCGCACAATATTCTACAACCGCTGCTGGGACTGCGAAACTGATACTGGGCGATTGCCAATCATGGACTGGAATATATATATGAAAATCATCATGCATATATTCCTGCTGGTAAAACAACCCTTGTGAAACGCCCACATGATGCCATCAACATGACCCACGTCTAATCACTGCACCTCTCCCGTCCATCATATGCCCGCCGTAACCAAATAAACTCCTCCGTCAATTGCGACCGTTTCTGCGCCGTCCCCGGCGCGCGCTGTCCGAAATACTGAATCAACCCTTCATCATTCCGCTCCGGATCCACCACCCCGCGCGACGCCAATCGCTGGAACCATCGCTGCGTGACCTCCGCATCTCGCTGCGGCCCCTTGCCCATCATGGCCACCATCGGAATCAACACGGTGCGGTATCCTCGACACCGTTTTTGGACCTCCTCGCTATGGTCCGCGTGATGATCACCCAATGGACATATGTGCTGCGGCATGCCACACGGGAAATGTGCGGTATAATTGGCATACTGGACCTTCCCGCGGACCATCTTCATCCAATCCTTATTCGCCTGGGTTTCCCTGCTGGCTCCCCCGGCCCCGGTAAACCCACAACGCCACATCTCATGCGCATCATCATATCCCCTCTGCGTGCATGTCCAACACCGATGCACCCACTTGTCGACCTCACTGACCAAAAACGCTTCGTCGTCGAATCGGGGCCCGGCCGGACC